CCCAATCCATCATCTATAGAGGAGAGGAGAGAAGACGATTACGCGATCTGAACGAGTTGAACGGTGCGATGGGCGGAGTCGCGCCGCCTCAAATGGGCGGCGCGACCCCGCCCATCGCGCCAAACGACCGGCTCCCCATATAAGGGGTGTTTGGACGAGATTTAACTAGCTCCCATTGCTCGAAGAGTTGACTACATCGAGCCGAATATGTCTGGAACTGCCTTTCACTGACGCCATGGATTATGACAAGTTGTTTGAACTTCCTACATGGAAGCCTCTTGAGGTAGTGCAGTTTCTAAAAAGCCGTTGAAATTGTTCACGATGGGTAAGGCATTCACACGATACAAACTCTGGCCCCATATTGTGCCCTATCCATGACGTTTATCGACTTTATAATGGCAGGTATGGTATAAGTGGGAGCCTCGAACTTATACTATAGGGGAAGCTCAGAAACCATTTTATCGTGAACTGTGCCATTTAATGCAGAGACGGTACACTTCCGATTTCAACGAGGAAGAAGTGTCAACCCTGAAGCTTTCTCAAATTGATCTGCCTTTCAACTATCACCATTGATAAAACCATTAGCACTAACTCAATAAATATTAGCGTCCAACATCTACTTTTTGGCTGATCCCCAGGTTTGAGTAACAACTTTTCTAGTCTTTCGCACATGCCGCCAGCAGCGCCTCATCGCTAAACGCGAAGCGAAAAGCCGCTCAATTTCAGAGTGCCCAAAGTGGATCGATGACTGCACATCCACAATTTGAGGCATGATATAAAGCGAGAGCGTAGTGTACGGTATTAATATTGCAAGAAGTTTGCTTCAGCCTGTTGACTGACCACTGTTATTCTACGTGCCCACCTTTTAGAAGATGAGGGTTCAGCTGCAATTTCTTCTCAATATTTCTTCTACCAATACTGTTCCAGAACCGAATGTCACCAAGATCGTATCTGTCACCTGTAGGAGCGCTCCAATTTGCATCTTTTACATTAAGAAAAAAAGCTCATCCTACTTGATTTGACATTTTTTGATGATGCCATCGTTGGTATTTGGAGGAGGCATAGTAGATTCAATACCCAGAATGACATCTGAATGGTCACAATCAAATGGTCATCATAGCTGATAGACCATGGCAATGTAGTGGATCTTTTTTATATAGTGAAATTTCAGGTGAAAAAATCTAAATTACAGCAAGAAAGCAAAAAACAAGAAAGCGAAGAGACGTTGTTCATAAAGAAGAGAAGCTGAGAAACGGAAAGAGTTGTGACTATGGAGAATGTTCCTATCCAGATGCCAGATCAACAACAAAACAAGGCCCAGGTTCAAAACAAGACCCAGGTTATAGAGAGGGATCTCCAGGTTGAAGTGGTTCACTACAAAGCCCATATAATACTTTGTCATTACTCCTGTTTCCTCATTTTAGTTGATCTACGGCCGAAAAGCTATCTGGTCCGCGGAATGGGTTGCCAACAGGTGATCGGAGGAGACGTTTCAGGTGGTAAGATTCTGACGGGAGTCTCCAGAGTAGCTAGGGCTCCTTAGGATTTTAGGAAATATACCCTTGCTTATTCGCCCATCCTTTTAATGGAATGATTGCCTTGGCAGGATTTCTTGGCGAATTGGAAACCTGTAGCAATGGAGCAATGTGAGCCAGTGTTCACCTTTCCTGATATTATAGCTTTGCCAAGTCATTACTTTGATTCTCGAAAATCTGATGGGAGATGGTTCGCTGACGATGACACGACGATGACGATGATATGTTCTGCTGTCAGCGACATGGGCCAGGGAAGGCAACGAAATCTGTCGGCGACATCGGAACTAGCCACTCTTATTCGAGTTCCTCTTTTCGCATAGATTTCAACCGCAATCTATTTTACAAATTGGGTGCAATCCTGCGGCCCAGTTGACCCTTGACCTCCACACTTTTCTTTCCTCCTTACCCCAGGTTATTATTACGACAAGAAAACACGGTTGACCTCCACACTTTTCTTTCCTCCTTACCCCAGGTTATTATTACGACAAGAAAACACGTAATCAGAAAAGAAATTGGATCATCAACTACTGGGAACTATCTCCGATCTTGCCGAAGCACCAATTCATAAAGCAGAACCTTGGTGTGTTGGTTTGTAAGTTTGTCGGTGTGTCGGTCTGTCGGTCCGCAAAACTTATGATTGCGATAAAAGTAGTGATATGGAAACCTAGGTGATATGGAAACCTAGCTCTACTCTACACTTCCTTCTTATATATAAGGCAGTAACTTGGGGGGTAGGTTGATGGAATAGAGTGAGTACTGCGGAGTGAAGTGAGTGATATGTTGTGAAGTGGGTACTCCGAATTGAAATTTTGATCTGTACCGGCTCAGCTTTTTTTCAACACAATTTCAACGTAAGGAGTTCAGCCCATAAATGTGCTCATTAACGTTTCTCAGCCGAGAACATACAGTTTTTTGATCTGGGCTTTATGAAGGAAGGGGTACCGAGAGTCAATTGAATCTTCAACTCATACCCCATCCTAGGTTTTTGAAAGAGGTAATCATCTCATACCCAACCCGCCTCTCCTCTCCTACTGAAGCTTGGCTTGAAACCATTCTCTTTTGTTTAGAACCGTTCCTAAGTACAGATCAGTTTGGCTACCCCTCCTCTGCACTCTAGCCCTCAGTGTTGGATTTTCAACTACTCGGTAAAAGTAAGGAATGAGGCCCGGCATTAGTTGGGCGACCCGACTGGTATCTGTGTAAAACATTCAACCTTGAGCAATACTGCCGGTCCGAATGTGCTCGAGGTCCCTTACAATTAGGCTGCTGAGCGCACATTATTCCACGGTCTATTTTTCACTGCTTCATTCAGCCTGAAGACCTTTGCTGAACTTCGCTTTCGCCACGACGCAGGCTTTCAACCTTGAGTTTTGAACACATTATGCTTAGTCTTGGAATTATCAATTTTGCTTCTGCGTCGAGGTTGGTAGGCGGGAATATTTTTATTCTGGGCAACGTTCCGACGTACTCGTCGTTTTCTATGGCCTGAAAATGGTTCAAAGCTTGTTGATTGCAGACTACCCCACCAAGCGCCTCTTTCACTCTGTCGTTTCTGTCTGAAACTCTATCAGCAACGCACGAAAAATGCCTAAAGTTTAAAAGATAAGCTCACCTCACTTCCACAGCAAAGTTTAGCGCTACGTTTCACGATTAGTACATTTGTAGCGAATGATCTTACTTCGCTGTCCTTATGGAATAATATTATTGCTGATCAGCACGTTTGGGGATTATGGAACTAACTCGCAGTGTTGCATAAATGGCAAGAGATCATTTGTGATCGTCATACACTCATTTCGGTTGTTCATATTTGGATTTCTAGCTAAAATTCAGAATATTCAGAATGCTTCCAACGCTTTCCTCGAGGATATTTCCGTCTCACGAACCAATAACGTACACTTGATGTCAAAATCATTGCCACCGCGCTGTCCACTCTTTGCTTCCCTGACGGGGTTAATACATTACTGCGTCGTTTACAGACAAGATGCTCTTTGATTCGATCTGATAAAGCTCTTCCAGATTCCCCTTTGTAGCTCGAATTACATGTCTCATATTGGACCTAATAAATTACGCCTACAGAAGCGCAATCTCCATTTTTCCCATTTGGACATCTCTGTCAAGCACTGCGTTTCATAGAGTCTGCTCCTCACAAATTGGCGTTTGATGTTTTTAGGCGAAATGTTAATTAGAATAACATCATCGCTCAATTGCGCCCGAACAATACACTGTTGTATTGCAGCAGGGGTCTGAGGTCTTTTCTCCGAACGGCGTCTCGCGCTCGCACGTACACGTAGCTGTCCTGTGCATGTTCCTGATAACGGAGCGTTTAACAGCGGACGGATGTGCAGATGTGGCGTCAATCAAAATGTTCTTCGAGCTTCTTTATCG